GCTGGGTAAGTTATAAAGAAAAGAAGTTTATTTAATTCATAGTGCTATAGGCAGAGAAGTACAAGGAACTTGGTGCTATCCTCTACTTGTTTTTTGGTAGGGGCTTTTGTGCTGTTTCATTTTGTGGATGGTGTCAAAGGAAAAGTGTATGTGTACAAAGAGGCAAATCCCAAGCGGTATCCTGTGGGATACCACCCATGTGGGAAATAATCCATTTCCATGAGAACTAATTCAGTTTCATGAAAGCATGAACCCACCCACTGCCATGAGACAGCACCAAACCATTCATGAGGGATCTACCCCCATGATCCAAACACCTCCCAACACTGCCGCACTGGTGATCAAATTTCAACATGAGATTTAATGGGGACAAAACACATGCCAACCATATACCATAAAACCACAACCAAAATGATTTGATCAAAAGTGAGGCATATTCAAGAATAAAATATATCACCATCTAAAATATGAATAGACATATAACTACCCAAGGAAAAAAGTTAATCTCACAATGAGGTTAAAGTTTTCCCCATCTGAGCATAAATGTTTCCAAGTGTTGACTTGGCATAGTGTTTTCAAAATTCTTTAAAAATTGAACAAATAATCCCAAAGCTCAGTCAACTACATTACAAATTTGGCAGTAATTTATCTCTTTTCTTCCCTGTTTACCAGTGGGAGAGGGAGGAAGATAAGGGAGGTATTAGTAGAATTCAGTCCTAGCATCATTAATGAATGCACAGGAGGAAAAATCAATCTGGACTCCCAGGAAAGGAAGAAACTGAGCATCCCAAGCATCCTGAAGAAAATTCCCTGGAATGAAGGGAGACAGAAATAACAACAGAAAATGGTTTTGCAGAAAGCTTTCCTTTATCAAGGAAGATGTTTGACCATAGCTGTGACTGAAATACCAAGAAATAAACAATGTTCACCAACAAGAAGTGATTGTGTTAACAAAACAAATAAACAATTATTACCAACTAGTTTAAAAAGAAACTGCCAAGTAGAACATACATTTGATCATCTCATATTTTGGTAGGCAGAAACATAAACATGTTAAAAACCAAACATCATCCTTTTTGATCCTGTACACTTGCCTAAATGGAATTCTTTTACACAGTAAACATGCTTCTGCTTATTCAGCAAAATCCATCCTGAGTCCTAAAACATTTCCTGAAAGCTAAATTCCTTAAACGAGGCACTAAGTCATTGTAATGCAAACACCAAATGCTTTCCTTTTGCTGGAAATAGTATTATAGAGTTACTTTTTGATATATGCTCAAGTTTTTCAAGATTTTGCTATAAGCAAAATAATCCTTTATGATATTTTATAATACTCCACACTGTTTGTTGCTTTCCAGAATTTCTATCATTAATTAAAAGGCTACCTTTTACTTCCTCTGCTCCCAAAACTAATCTATTCCCCAACTACCTATCAGAGACCAAATAAAAGTTGGTCTATCACAGAAGCAGTGACAGTCATGCCAGTTTCGCAGAGTGATTTGTGCACTCATTTCATTTTGAAAATGACTCTGCCCTCCATCTGTCTAAGCCAAATGTCCGGTTTTTTTTCAATCCAGACCTCTGGAGCATCACATGAAATAAGGAGAAAGACACAGAATGGCCTCTATCCTGCCCACTTCAGCTACCATGCTCAGGTATCAACACAAAGGGAATTCTAACTGATTCCTATAGGGATCAGAGAAATTTGGAGGAGAGCAGATAGTCCTTTTATTTTTCATACATTTGCAAGAAGCCATTTGAAGGTGAATGCTTTCATGATACAAATACAGTTCTGTAAAACAGAGTCAGACTAAAGATATAAAAGGCAATTTCCCATTTCCATGTTGTCATCTTACCTTGATTTAGCAGCATCTTAATGTAACAGATCAATATATAAGAATGCTAAAATATTGGGCCTTTCAGATATTATTTCTAAGGGACAGGTGTCAATCAGGTAAGCATAAAGAAGACCCCTACTCCTTGATTTTTGAGCAGCATTAGATAGCATCCCTCAACCCAGGGACATTCCTAGGTTGAATAGTGAATAGGGCTGTAGATGGAGATTGGGCAGGAAGAAGCCTTGAAATAGGGCTATAGTGACCTTCCTCAGCAGCCTTTTCTGGTGATCTTTCATGGTTCAGAGCTACACTCAGCCCCCTAAAATGCGTGCAATTTGTCCCTTTCTTGGAATTGATGCAGTAAGAGCTTCTTTCATCAAGAAGAGTACAACTGTGGCAAACTTTTCAGGAAGAGAGAATTTATGAGTATATGAAGTCAGTTGCTTTATACTATAGCATTCAGATACCTACTAAAGTCTCTTTCTAGTTATTAACATGCAATCACCCCCCATTAATCACTTCCTAACACCTGCTCACTGCTACAACTTAGTCCAGAAAGTTCAAATTTCTATTGCCCAAACCAAGGTGGTTGTTTGTTTTAATGGGAAATTAACAATTTAAAAAAAAAAGCAAGACACTAACATTCCTTTAAAACTGGGCCCATCAATGATAGATTAGTTACTCCATCAGTTACTATTTCCTACTAAAACTTACCTCCGAATATTATGGCTCAGCTGCTTCCTATCTAGCTGGATGATCTTGGGCAAGTTAATTAATATTTCTGAGCCATCTGTAATATGCAGAATACAGGAGGGATATTATTAGAAAGATATATGTAGGTAGTTTAACAAAATGCCTTGCAATATGGTTGATGTTGGCTCCAAAATTCATATATTGATAAGATTTATGAGCAGCAATATTACTGAGTCAGATGAGTTACTTACACTGAATTATTACACTGAATTACATAGCAAAGATATGCTTTGACTTGTACTGCTTATCTGAATTTTCTTCTGGATACAATAAAAAGAGATTGCCTACACTTCAATTTAACCCCCAACCCAGATTCCTAGTGGTAAGAATTACCTCTTGTTGGGTGGTAGTGAGGCCAATGGAAATCATGAAAGCCTATGAAAGACCAGCAGTGTACTGTGTATGATACATGCTAATAAATTATCCCTATTATTCTTATTTTTGCAAACTACACAGTTTTCGACTATGTCACTGGGATAAGCCAATTTTGTATTTTGCTATCTTGTCTACTTCCCTGAATCTTGACTATATATATATAGTCAAGAAAAAAAGCATACTTTTAGATTAAACTGGCCTGGAAACATTGAATTTGAGAGAAAATGGTTTTCAGATTAGTTTAATCTATAGGTATTTGTTAAAAATTAGTGATCCTACATAATTTTATAGGATAATTAAGCCCCTAGTTTTTCACAGCTCCATCATGGGCACTATTAAATTTTTTTAATTATACAAAAATGGTCCCAAGACAGTAACATGAACCTGCAGCATCTATTCCAAGGAACGAAATTACAAAGAACAAAAGAATACCCAGGTGATTTATTGTACAATCTAGTAAATCAGCATAGAAATCTTCAAATTAAGAATCTGAAATAAAAAGTGTAGGCAATCTCTTTTTATTTTATCCAAAAGAAAACCCACATTTTATTACCTCAATATCCAAAAATATCATTACAAGCCTGACAAGTTCAAGCTGAGCATCTCTGTCTCTCGTACATCCATACGTCATGGACTGACTGACTTTAGTTAAGAGAAGTGGAAAAATCCATAGGGAAAGCAGCACATTTTAGATTTGCATATACCCCCACAGAATAGATGGGGTCATGCATTTCTCCAACGTTTCTAGAGAAACGTTGAGAAAGCTAGAACACCAGCACACTGGATAGAGCCAAGTGTAAAAGCAAGCACACACTCAGCAATATTTGTTGTTAAGGAAAAGGAGAGCAGGAGATTCTCTTTCAGTGATGCCAGGTGGGGTGTGTTGTGTTGTTCCATGGGTCCTTGATTTTGCAACAGAAAAGAATTTCACAGTGAATTCAAAGTGCAGGTTAAGACAAAATGTATTAGAAAGAAAAGGTGCCTTAAGAGAAAACATGTATTACAATGCAAACCATGAGCTAAGAGTGGAGGGTTGTAGGTATTTGGTCATGAATTCTGATTACCATCTCAACTTTTTAAGGTCACAAGGACCTTTAAATGACAAAAGTCACTGCCTAACTAGATTTGGGCTCTTTTGTAGACCATCATGTCTGTGTTTTGGGTAATTCCCTATTGTGTCTGTGATTTACTGTACTGGTAGTTCTACATTCCAGCTCCGCAATGTTGTCAGGTCTGACATGTCTAGCTGGTCAGGTGAAGGTCTTGCATGGATAAGAACGGTGTTTGAACGTTTATCCTGCCCTAAATTAGTCCTGCCTAAGAAAATCTGCCTAATTACTTCTAAACAGTCAACTATGGCTCCTTTACCAGTACCAATTAAGATTCACAGGGTATTCTCTCGTTAACCTCTGGAAACGACCAAAATAAGAACTGCTCACGGCACGATTTTGTTCTTACAAACAATAACTTCAGGGAGCATAAAAAGAACCTATTCAATTTCCAGGGGGAATTCCAAGAATATAACCCACCTTTCCACCTTTTCCATCTCCTTCCTTTTACTAAAACAAAGAGAAACAACGCTATTCGTTTAAACCACACGGTGCACGTGACTCCAAATCACCGGGAATATCTGACCCGGAACCTTCCTTTGCCGCGCAAGAGCCCGACGAAAGAACACAAAAAGATCAAACACCCCCAACCTGAACAAGCAGGGAGAGCGGTGACCCTGAGTTCCTTACATTGGTGGGTCGGTACCAGGGAGACTACATCTCCCAGCATGCAGCGCGACCAAGTCCCGAACAGTAGCGCGGCAGGAACGGTGCATGCCGGGAGGGAGAGTTTCAATCTCTGAATGGCCTGGAAATTGCCGCTCCCTCTCAAACGGCCGCCACTCAACAGTCTAGAGTCACCGAAGACCACATTGAGGGACTCACGACAATGACCCAATTTTATCCTTAACAGATCCCTTCTGCAGTAATCTCCGTAATCTGCAGTAATCTCCGGCATTCTTCCGCTTCCGGTTGTCTTGTCGCCATGGCAACAGTACCCCCAACAGTCATGGCGGTCCTGGCGGGGCTGAACGGTGCACAGATCCCGGATGGAGAGTTCACCGCGGTCGTGTACCGGCTCATCCCGGATGCCCGCTACGCAGAGGCGGTGCAGCTGCTGGGCGGGGAACTGCAACAGAGCCCGAGGAGCCGCGCCGGCCTGTCGCTGCTGGCCTACTGCTACTACCGCCTGCAGGAGTTCGCGCTGGCGGCCGAGTACTATGAGCAGCTGAGCCAGCTGCACCCGGACGTGGAGCAGTACCGCCTGTACCAGGCCCAGGCCCTGTACAAGGCCTGCCTCTACCCAGAGGCCACCCGGGTCGCCTCCGTTCTGCTGGACAACCCCGCCTACCACAGCCAGGTTCTTCGCCTGCAAGCGGCTATCAAGTACAGCGAGGGCGATCTGCCTGGGGCCAGGAGCCTGGTGGAGCAGCTGCTGAGTGGGGAAGGGGGAGAAGAAAGTGGGGGCGAGGACGAGTCCGATGGCCAGGTCAACCTGGGTTGTTTGCTCTACAAGGAGGGACAGTACGAAGCTGCGTGTTCCAAGTTCTTTGCAGCCCTACAGGCATGGGGCCACGAAGCTGACCTTTCCTACAGCCTGGCCTTGGCCTATTACAGCAACGGGCACTATGCCTCTGCGCTGAAGCATATTGCCGACATTATAGAGCGTGGCATTCACCAGCACCCAGATCTAGGTGTGGGCATGACCACTGAGGGCGTTGATGTTCGCAGCGCTGGTAGCACCTTAGTCCTCCACCAGACTGCTCTGGTAGAAGTCTTCAACCTCAAGACAGCCATAAAATTGGCATTCTGAGAAACTATGAGACAGTTCAGGAAGCCCTCACTGATATGCCACCTAGGGCAGAGGAAGAGTTGGACCCTGTGACCCTGCACAACCAGGCACTAATGAACATGGATGCCAAGCCTACAGAAGGGTTTGAAATGCTTCAGTTTTTGCTCCAACAGAATCCCTTTCCCCCAGAGACTTTTGGCAACCTGTTGCTGCTCTACTGTAAATATGAGTATTTTGACCTGGCAGCAGATGTCCTGGCAGAAAATGCCCATTTAACTTACAAGTTCCTCACCCCCTATCTCTATGATTTCCTGGATGCCATGATCACTTGCCAGACAGCTCCTGAAGAGGCTTTTGTGAAGCTAGATGGGCTAGCAGGAACACTGACTGACCTCCTCTGGAAACTCACCGTACAGGTACAGGAAACAAGACTTCATAGAGATGAAGAAGCTACCAAAAAGGCAGTGAATGAGTATGATGACACCCTTGAAAAGTATATTCCCGTGTTGATGGCCCAGGCAAAAATCTGCTGGAGCCTTGAAAATTTTCCAATGGTGGAAAAGCTCTTCCGTAAATCTGTAGAATTCTGTAATGACCATGATGTGTGGAAGTTGAATGTGGCTCATGTTCTGTTTATGCAGGAAAATACAAAGAAGGCATTGGTTTCTATGAACCCACAGTTAAGAAGCATTATGATGACATCCTGAATGTCAGTGCTATTGTGTTAGCTAACCTCTGTGTGTCGTATATTATGACAAGTCAGAATGAAGAAGCAGAGGAGTTGATGAGGAAGATTGAAAAGGAGGAAGAGCAGCTCTCTTATGAGTACCCTGATAAGAAAATCTACCATCTCTGCATTGTGAATTTGGTGATAGGAACCCTGTATTGTGCCAAAGGAAATTATGACTTTGGTATTTCTCGAGTAATCAAAAGCTTGGAACCTTATAATAAAAAGCTGGGAACTGATACCTGGTATTATGCCAAAAGATGTTTCTTGTCCCTGTTAGAACACACGTCAAAGCACACAATCAAAATACCAATCATGCTTCGTCATAGTGTTATTTGAGAATGTATCCAGTTTCTGGAACACTGTGAACTTCATGGCAGAAACATACCTGCTGTTATTGAACAACTCCTGGAAGAAGTAAGCATGCATACTGGAACAAGTACAATGACATATGAGTCCAGACAGTTAAAAGCTCTCATTTATGAGATTATAGGATGGAATAAATAGTAATGGCTGATAAAGACTTTTATCTAATGGTTTTGTTATGTAAATTTTGCATTATTTTATCTATTTAGCCATTGGCATTTTTATATTTGTTGTATGTTGACCTTTCTACCTTTTAGCATTATAACAAAAATAATCATTTTTAAACTTCTCACAAAGTGAAATATACTGAGAACTTTGACCCTAAAAGGAGTTGTGAAAAATTTAAAACTGATGTTGTGTCTGTTAGAACTTATAATCCCTGTGTTTCCATTCCCTTGTTATCTTTTGTGCTTTGATATTTCTTGAGGGACTCTTGCATAAAGATTACATCATCCGGGGACCAGGCACTAGTAAGACCAGAACTCATTAGTAGTCAGTAGTAGACTTTTCATATTTCAGAAATTGTGTGTTCTCATAACTTAACCTCATACTAATTTGTAATGCATACATTTTATAGAGAGTTTAGGATATTTTGGCAGTGTTTTCCAACATAGATACGTTGCTTTATGTAACCAAAATTCCCTAAGTTACAATTTTTTTTAATGTAGGAAATTCAGTGGAAAATGTTGCTCCATTACAAATTACGGAAACAAATTTCCCTAGTTTCCTTTTGCATTATACTATTATTTATAATAACTTTGTTTTTATTTATCTCTGTGACAAACAGCAGAGGTACCCTAATTACTCGGTACTTTTTTTTAATTAAAAAAAATTTTTTTTTTAGTTGGAGTCTCACTCCATTGCTCAGGCTGGAGTGCAGAGGCACGCTCACAGGTGGGCTCTGGTGATCCTTCCACCTCAGCCTTCCAACAAGCTGGGACTACAGGCATGCACTACCCTGCCTGGCTAATTTTTATTTATTTATTTATTGTAGAGATGAGGTCTCACCAAGTTGCCCAGACTGTTCTTGAACCCGTGAGCTCAGGTAATCCCCAACCTTGGCCTCCCAAAGTGCTGGGATTACAGGCTGGAGCCACCTTGCCTGGCCACAAATTTTTAAAGAGGTAATTGTCTTGCTATGTTGCCCAGGCTGGTCTTGAACTCCTGGGCTCAAGCATTCCTCCTGCCTCATCTTCTGGAGTAGCTGGGACCACTGGTGTGCATCACCATGTGTGGCTAGAATTCAGTTCTTAGTTGCTGACTTTGTGTTTGCAATTTAGGATATGCTGGAGTTGTAGCATGATCCCATGTTGTAGCTTTTTGGGTAAGAAAAATCTTTCACACTCCATGACCCATCTGAACTCCTCTACTACTTCCATCACTGATGAAAAGGCCAAATCTGAAAACTTATCTCACAGATTCATAATGTCACTTTCATGTCCACACTTCCCAGGAGTCTTTTGGAGTTCCCACTAGGAACCCCACTCATTCTGATCAAGGATTTTGTTTTCTGAAACCTACAAGAGCTTTATTATGTTTCCCCAGCCCTTACTCCTTTCTCTCCATAAATCTGTCAACCCCAACTTGCCTGGCTTGGAAAAACCAAAAGTGAGGCCGGGCTCGGTGGCTCAGCCTATATTCCCAGCACTTTGAGAGGCCGAGGTGAGTGGATTGCCAGAGCTCGTGGGTTCGAGACCCATTCAGGCAACTTGGCGAAACCTCGTCTCTACAATAAATAAAAAATCAGCTGGGTGTGGTAGTGCATGCCTATAGTTCCGGCTACTTGGAAGGCTGAGGTGGAAGGATTGCCGGAGCACAGGAGGTTGAGGCTGCGGTGGCTGGGAGTGTGCCACTGCACTCAAGTCTGGGTGACAGAGTGAGACTCCAGCTCAAAAAAGGAAAAAAGAAAAACCAAAAGTTGTAGGCTGAATCAGATGAAGTTGATTTTGAAAGTTTCTGACTCACAAAACTAGCAGTTTCTTATGGCTCAAACTAATAGTGTTCTTCTGAAAGATAGGATACCCCTGACACAATGAGATGACATTTTCTGTAGAAGAACCACTTAGTCACATAAGTACCCAGATGAAATATGCTCAGCATTATTCCTCTGTAACATGACCTCCTGGGTGCTCAAATTCTATTATACCAGAAAATCTGGCTTATTGTGAAGTTCAATGGTTTTGAATTTATGGCATTTTAAATCTTAATTATCTGAGTTGCTATCATTTCCCCCTGATGCTTTTATCCCACATGTAGAGGAACAAGTAATGTTTAATGGCCTCTTCAGGGCATCTCATAGCACATCCAATGTCTGGGAAATGTTCTTTGACAACTCCTGTACTTAAAGTGTTGCAGCAGTAGCTCTGTGCCCCTCTCAATCTTGGTAGCCCCTGAAGATTTGGAAAGTAAATGAACTGAAATCTTGTTTTCAATAGCCACATTAAAATTCTGGGAAACCCCCCCCCCATTCCCTTTAAACCAAACTATTTTATTTCGGTGGTGGGGTGGGGGAGAAGTGCATAAAGCGTAGCTAATGTTAACCATTGAAAAACAAATGTTTTCCAGATTCCTTTTTGCAAATAGCTTGGCCTTTATTCAGCTATAATTTATTTACCCAGGTGCTGTGTGTTGTGGTTTGCATGTATGTGAAATTTAGCCTTTTAGAACATAAAAAGCTTTTCAGAACAGTTTTTAACCCCTTGTTGCAGGGTTGTTGGGATTTCCTGGTTAGTAATGCATCAGATAATCCTGACTGCTGGGTAGTAATTTCCTGGTTAGTAATGCATCTGATAATCCACAGAGTAAGGGAATCAAGGTCAATCATGCCATCTGTCTCCTTTCTTACCCTGGCTCTGCAGAGAGGTGACAGTATCTCCTGAGCCATTCTTATAGAGTCAAAGAGCCAAGGGCTGAGGCCTGGAGGAGCCTGGGGAGAGTTAGGGCATTCCTAACTCCTCTGGCACTTACTTTCCTTACTTTTTTTTTTTTTTTTTTTTTTGAGTTGGAGTCTCACTCTGTCGCCCAGACTGGAGTGCAGTGGCTGCTCCCGGTCACCACAGCCTCGACCTGCTGGGCTCCAGCGATCCTTCTGCCTCAGCTTTCCAAGTAGCCGGAATTACAGGCATGCACTACTATGCCCGGCTGATTTTTTGATTTATTGTAAAGATGAGGTCTCGCTGCCCAGGCGGTCTCGAACCCGCGGGCTCAGGCAATCCACTCACCTCAGCCTCCCAAAGGCACGGGATTTTTTTTCTAGTTGGAGTCCCACTGAGTTGCCCAGGCTGGAGTGTACTTGCATGCCCATGGCCACCCCAGCGTTGACCTGCTGGGCTCGGCAATCCTGTCTCAGCCTTCCAAGTAGGCAGAACTATAGGCATGTGCTACCATGCCCGGCTAATTTTTTCATTTATTGTAGAGACAAGGTCTCACCATGTTGCCCAGGGCTCAACCCGTGGGCTCAGGCAATTCTCTCACTTTGGTCTCCCAAAGTCCTGGGATTACAGGTTGAGCCACTGCACCCAGCTATTTTCCTTACTTTTAGAAAATGTATCTTTTAAACACATGTTCAAAGTCTGTTGCTTTTCTTCTAGGTTCTAAAAAGTAAATGACTTTACAATGACCCCATATTTTGCCATTTAAAATAAAAGCTTCCACCCCAGGAGTTTGGGAAGATGGTGACCAAGCCATTCGGACTATGTGAGTCCTGGTGTGAGTGAGTGTATAGAAAATTTTGTGTACATGCTAGTGAGTAAGTGGCGTGTGGGTGACTGATTGAGTGAGGGCTGGGGAGCTAGCAGCCAGGGCTCTCCTGGTGCAGTGGCTGGTGCCACAGCTGCTGGGTTTGGAACCTAGCGACTCCCAGGACGCAGAAGCCAAGCGCCCCCCCACCCACTTTTTTAATCAACAAAACCCTTCCTGGGGAGAGTCTAAGTGAGGGCCTGTGAGCAAGTGGCCAGGCCCCCGGTGCAACAGCTGGTGCCGCAGCTTCTCTGCTTGGTCCCTGGCTCTTCCCAGGTCGCAGAAGTTGAGTGCCATTTTTAAAATAAAAAAATTTTTTTTGAATTGAAGTCTCACTCTGTCACCCAGACTGGAGTGCAGTGGCACACTCCCAGCCACCACAGCCTTGCCCTGCCAGGCAATCCTTCCATCTCAGCCTTCCAAGTAGCCAGAACTACAGGAGCGCACTACCACACCCGGCTCATTTTTGATTTATTGTAGAGATGAGGTCTCGCCAAGTTGCCCAGGTGGGTCTCGAACCCACAGGCTCAGGCAATCCACTCGCCTCAGCCTCTCAAAGTGCTGGGATTACAGGCTGAGCCACCGAGCCAAACTGTTCTTTTTTTTTAAAGGACAAAAGTTTTCCTGTGAAAAAGTAGTGGGGAGAGACCATCATCCCAGGCTCTGCCTCACCATTGCAGCAGGAGAGACTGCTGTCTCCAGGCTTTGCCTCACCACTTCAGCACCTGGCAGGGCACTGGCAGCAGGGGCTATGGAGGGAGTCCAGAGGCAAAGTTGCAGGGAAGAGGACAAGAGAGGCATCACACCACCATCGTGAAGTTGGGACAGGAAAGTGCTCTGACCTGCTCACCACAGAGCAATAGACCAGATCCCTGTGACTGGTGGATCAACTACTCAGGGATTGTGACCCAGAGGAAATATCCTGAAAGTACAAACTTTGGAGGTGCCCCACCCGCTACCCTGAACCAGCCTCAGAACAAAGGGTGTGGCCAGAAAAGGACAAGGAAGGACTCCAAAGACATCAGTGGTAAGTCTGGGGCTGACCCAAACCCCCTCCTCCTCAGCAATCCTCTGAACATCAGACCCACATAGCTAGGCCACAACTGAGAGGGACAAACCCAGGCAGAGCCTGGACATCAGTTGCAATAGGAGAACTTCATTCCAGGATAGGCCTGGCTGGGTCCCTCCCTGTGAATACATAACTGGGGAAGAGACAATCCTGTATCTCCCCACCAGAAGGTATCTCCCTGACCATGTGAGAGCAGGAGGGGAGGACTACAGCCCCACCCACCTCCACTGCCCCTCCTCCTTCCCTGCTCAGGACACTGAGGAGAGAGTGAAAGAGGTGGCTTTGCAGGAGAGACCTGATTAGAGGAACTATTACAGAGCTTGTCACAAGAGAGCAGGTTTTTTTATTTTAAATTTTTTTAAAATTTTTCAAGAATGTTTTATTTCCTTGAAGCTTTCCATTCAAATTTCACAAAAAAGCAGAGATGGAATCTATGCTGAAATATTCATCAGTTGATATAGAGAAGCGCATCCTC